CTTCCAATTGAACACTATGAGCCAACTCTTCGAGTAATGCTATATGACGAAGAGGCAAACTGGGAAGCCATGCGCCTGACATTAGACTCACTCCCAGAAAAGAGAGGCAATGCTGTCTTGCGCCATGAAATTTACCGCCTGAGAATGACCAGATCATACAACAAAAAAGTGCACAGGCGTCCACTCAAAGTGGGGGACTTTGTACTTAGAAAAATGGAAGCAGTTGGTAGGGCTAATGAGTCTGGAAAATTAACTCCCAACTGGGAAGGACCCTACCGAATCTATGAAGAGGTCAGGGACGGTACCTACCGTCTGGAAACACCAGACGGCCAACCGTTGCCTCGAACCTAGAATGTAGATAATCTTAAGAAATATTTCTTTTGAATAATGTAAATAGTCGAGGGCTACTTAATAAAAGTTTGATGTTTCATTCAATTTTGTACTAAGAGGGGCATGCCTACTGACAAACAGTCGGCTACTCTCCATGTTTAATTTTCATTCTTACCTAAGAGGGGCATGCCTACTGACAAACAGTCGGCTACTCTCCATGTTTATTTTTTATTCTTACTTAAGAGGGGCACGCCGTTTGTTTCATACAACCGGCTACTCTCCCATAACACAGTTCACCAAGAACTATCAAAGGCTCATAGCTAAAATGATCAGACCAGGCGCCAAGCCAACTGATCCAAATATAAGTTCAATTCGACCTGTCCCAACATTATAGCAGGCGTCCGACGGCATCCATCCGGATGAAATTCGTCGTAGAGAGCAGCTCCCTTTTGGGTGGAACATTGTTCTATAAAATCATTACACGACACCTATACGACTGTCTAACCAAGACAACCACGTAGCCGTTTCCCGGACAAGGATACCTCTCACTTAACTGACTAATCAGGTCAAACAAGTGTTCGCAGTAACCATCCGTGTCAACCAACCGACTGAACTACTTGGGATAAGAATAGTCGGTATCTTAAGAGTTAATAGCCAACAAACATTGGCGAATAAAGGGGAACAACCGGTACCCACCGCTTGATACCTCTACTACTCAGTCACTTGGCGACTAGGTAACAATTATGTTTACTTGGTCACTCCTTAAAAATTTAGTATGAAACTAAAAAGGTGTTCATACAGCGCCTGTTCACACTAGATTAAATGTGGCGGGGAACAGTCGGCCTGGACCGACTAGAGTCTCTAGCTTAAAAAACAAAAAAACAAACAAGGCAGGTAGGAAACCACCTTCCTACTTGGTTGAAGGAGATCCAGTCTTTAAAGTGGCCGACTGATCGCTTAGCCTGGAAACAGACAACCAGTCGTCCAGGGGCATAGGTGGCGTGACTAACTACCTCGTACCTGTCCGCAACTATCGGCCATGCAAAACAGTCGGTATAGTGTGCAATTGGATATCAAAGTTTCGATACTTAGCAAAATCGAAACAAATTTAAACGAAACATTTTTTGCATAAACATTCATACCCCCGGCCCCTTGGCCGGGTAAAAGATACAAAAGAAGCCGGTCATTAAGACCGGCAAAATATTCAAAACCCCGGCCCCCTGGCCGGGTAAACAGAAACAAACGGCACGCAGGCCGTGAAAAGAAGACATAAAGCTTAAGAAGGGGGCAGATCTTCAATAGTAGCAGCTGCCGCCTGGTCAGCACTCTTTTTGCTGGACTCGGCTTCAGCTGCATCCTTCTTCGATGCATCTCCCCCAAGCGGCACAAGCGCCACTACCGGCTCCTCCTCCTCCAACGCCTCGTCCTCAGCAGCCGCCAGGATCTCTTGATTATATCTATCAGAACACTGGCGGTACGTTTTTTCCCAGGAGGAAAAGTCGGCATTGGGGAAGAGGCGGCCCCAGGTCAGGCGCTGGATTTGAGCAGAGTCTTCCATCATCTCTGTGACCAGCTCCTTCTTTTCTTGCTCGGCCTTTGCCGAGAGCTCCTCAGTAAGACTCTTCTCCTGGGTCACCAGGCGTTCCTTAACGTGCGCCAAGGATTTCTCCAAGGTGTCGTATGAGGACATTTTTTGGCGAAACAACACCTAATAAGATAATTTGGACAACCGGTATAATTAAGTTCTTTTTTAATCTTGTTGTTTAATCAAGTGATCACAATATTTTAGAATTATATGTTGCATTAATAGTCAACCAATTTAGCTTAATAATAGTTTGGAGCAAATTGAATCTTTGTTTGTATGCTTTTGAGATCGTAGGGATTACTTTTCACAATAAGAATCGAGTAGAGGCCAATACGAGCGAATGTGACTCCATGACTCACTTCGTACCATCATCCCCGATCCTCCTTTCGTGGTTCCGAACCATATGGAGTTAGTAATCTCATGGATTATGAATGGGGTGTAACCTTCACGGGTCAATCGTTGTTGCCTTTCGTTGTCCCTTATTCGTGGTTGCCTTAAATGATCCGTGAACGGTTTACAAGTTCCTTAAAAACTTGTTGGCGGCTCTGGTAGGCGGTCGCACACCTAACAAAAATAATAAAAACCTAACTAAACCTCCTAATATGTAGTAGGGTAAGTCAGGGTCGATCCCACAAAGAAGGTTGGACTAAACAATGGTTTCTATGAATTATAATAGCCGAATCAAGATAAAATAATGAGTTGAATAATATATACTATGAACTAACAAAATAAATCTAATACTAATAAAGACTCTAGAATTAAGTATTACCACTAATATAATCAATACAAGATAAATTCCTACCCCAATCAATTAATTATATGCTCACAAGGAAAAGTAATCCCTAAATAATACCAAGGACCTCTCTCGAGTATCAATGGCTTCTCTAACCCACAATCAAGCCTATTCTCATGGAATCATGCAAATTAGAGACATTAAGCACATTACTCTAGCTTCCTAATTATCCATTCAACTACTCTCGTGATGAATATCAAACCCTTAATTGATCTATTCAAATCCGTTAAAACCCAACTCTCGCTACGATTAAAACAATGGAATAATAACAATACTAATTATCTCTAATCTAGTATTGGCATAAGCGCAATCAATTAAGCATGAACAATATAAATAAATTAATTGAGAATTTAAAAGAATAAATCAAGTATTAACCATATTAGGGTTCAACCTAAATCTAGAACAACAATCTACTCTAACATATTAACAAAAAAAAAAAACAAGAACAATAAATAATAAAGAAAACATGAATAAATAAAGAGATTAAAAGAAAATACCGAATCTTGAATTGAATTGAAGGTAGAAAGCTTGAATCTTGAATTACAAAAGTAAAGGAAATAAAAATAGAGAACTAGTTCTTAATAATAGGAATTGAAAAATAAAATAAACTTAATTAATCCTCAAGAAAAACAAAGCTAAAGAATATATATACAAGCCCAAAAAGATAAGAAAACCGGCTAAGCCTTGGCGCACAAGGATCCCAGGAGGCACGGACGTGCCTAGTGTGAGGCACGGACGTGCCTAGTGTGAGGCACGGACGTGCCTCTCTAAAAATAAAAACGCTGCTGACTCTGTCTTCTAGGCACGGACGTGCCTAGTTCTGGGCACGGACGTGCGTCTCCTGCTGCGCGTATCACTCATCTTAAATCAGTCATAACTTCATATCCGGAGCTCCGTTTGAGGCGTGTAATATATTGTTGGAAAGGTCTTCAAGTCTACTTTCCAATGAAATTTGAATCACTCCATTATCATTTGTATATCAAAAGTTATGAGCATAATAGTGAACAGGTGTCATATTTGTCAAGTATTTCATCAACGTTTTGCTTCATTTTCACTCAAGTTCGTCTCGAACACATGATTTAATATTCGTGGGCCTCGGCATAGCTTCGTGACTTCGTAAATTCTCCAAATTAGCTCTGTTAATCCTGAAATACATCAAAAACAACGAAACTACCCATAAAAGCATTGAATCATTGAAACTAAACCAAATTACACCAAAATGGACTAAAACACTCGACTAAGCTAATAAAATCGACTAAAAATAAGCTAACAAATATGCACAAAACACGACTTATCAGGCTCCCTACTTTGCTTTGTCCCTAATCGTGTCCCTAATCGTATAATGTTAATTCCCACTTCCTATGATAGACAAGCATATTCACAACATGCTTAAGTAGGTGCGTTTCGAACGACGCCTACAGATACATGTCAACTTTTTTATGAAAAATTTTCCCACCTAAACTATTTTTGACATCATTTTTTTCAAAATTACTTAATGAAATAATGATTACACTTTTTTTCAAATAAAGAATATTGACAACTATTTTAAACAAATAATAGCTATTTAATCCACGGGACTAAACTAGTTACCTAATAAAACCCAAATTTTTTGAGAAACTACCTAGTACAAAATTGTATAAAACTACCTAATAAAATGTAAATGTTGTAGAATACTACTTCTTGCTAGATTTCCACCGTTGACCTAATTTTTCGACATTGAGCTACCTCAAAAGTTTTTTGTATAAATTCAATTGCATCATCTGAAAACATCACCCAAAGCTAAACATCCTATTCGAGTTTAGAAATTTATTAATAAATTCTTATATAGTTAAAATTTGTAATAGTTGATGATATAATTGTTCTTGAACTAAATAATGAAATTGAGCTCTCCAATTCCAATTAGAGAACAAATGGAGAGGGAGGTGATGGGAGGGAATATAGTGGGAGGCAATGGTGGAGTACTGGAGTTCTGAAGATGAGGAAAGAGAAAATGAAAGAATTTTGTGATAATTATTACACCATATAAGATTGTTTTTGGTGCATTTTTTTAAAGTATGATGGACATCCAAAACCCGTTGGAGCTGTAAATCCTTAGATGAATCAATGCTCAACCTTATAATTGCTAACCTATGGAACTTAGGTTGTTAATCACTACTTTACTTTCTTTTTTGAGATGCACTCCTTGGTATTGACTAACTTCACAAAATGTCAACCAATACAAGATGGGACAAATCTGGTACATTCAAGTGTTAACACAGTTTTGTTTCTCAAATGGAACTGGAAAATGTGGCATGAAAGAAAATATCGTGCTGGATTTAAAAAAGGACCTCGAACAAAAGCACAAACTATGAATACTAAGGAATGCATATCAAAGTATTAACCACATTTTATTTGAAGAATTACAGTCAAAAGGCATGTCCAAATCACAAAAGACCAATACCCTCCCACAAACGGTCCATACATTCATCTCGACAAAGAACTTTGCGTGCTTGAGCACTGTGAAAAACATTGAAGTAGAAAATTCATCTTCCAAAGACGAGATTGATCCAATGACAATAACATGAAATGGTAAGAGCAAACCGGCATGATTAATGATGTTCCTTCACCTCAAAGAGCCCATCAGGTCCTGAAAACCACAAAAGACATTAAATGAGTCATTCAAATGGTTATAAAGAGCAAAGACACTAAGTATGAGTCATTCAAATGGCGTAGCAAAGATTTTCACAAGGGCAATGCACAAGTGTAAAGACAATTGATCAAATTCATGCTAATTCACCTATATGCTTACAATAACTACATCTTTCCAATTTAAATGTATACATTCAAATTTTTTATTAGATGAAATATTATCTATCTATAACTTTTTAATTTTTGATCAAACTAAAAAAAATTAAAGGGAAACCAATAAATCGAATGTAACTAAAATGAGCATTGAAGAAAGTGGAACTAGAGCCAAAAAGAAATGGTAGTTCAAGCTAAGAAAAGAAATGCCTATGACCAAAAAAAAAAAGGCAGATTCAGCCTTTAACCTGAGTCGTAACATCCTTACCCTCACAATGAATGTGAAAATTACTAGTTTTATCCAAAAGGGAGTTTCAACTTGGTCCAGGGAAGTCTTCCTAGGTATCTTTAACATTATGAAAGATAAATATTCATTACCACTGATTATTTCTTTCAAGAAAAAACAGGTGTAGAGGGACAAAGAAAAAGAGTAATAAGATCAAATTGCCAGAACATCTCACGCTGAGTCATAATAAAAACAAAAATTAACCTAAAAATAATTCTAAGAGAAATAAAAAACAGACTTCAAAACTGGGTGGTTTGGGGTTGCTACAAACAAAACTTCACCACACATAGATGTCAAAAAAGGATGCGGTAACAAAAAGTAACATTATAAAAAAAAAAAATAAAAAAAAAATTAATTAATTAAAAAAGAATTTTGTAGACTGGCTCTGGACACATAATTAGCCATCAAATACGTCAACCCTGCAAAATATAATCTTAAATCATAGCAGAAATAATAAAAGCCAGTCTTCACCCCTAAAACAGCCATGAGAGATTTCATGTGGACTTGGATCCAGATAATTCCTTGTAACAACAACTCCAACAAAGTATAACCTACCCACACGATGAGTGCCAATAGGTAGTAGGTATATCAACCATGTTCCCAGTAATGTTTTGTAAATTTATGATAAACATCACGGCAAGTTAAGTCTCTAAATCTTGATATAGTATACAGAGCATATTCTTGTACTATATCAGAGATAGCATTAAACCAATTGACTGAAGATTGTCTAGGAAAAGAAGTTAGTTTTATGGAGTTACCCAACAATTGCAAAATGTCTTCAAGCCATATCTTTATTCATGAAGGATTAACACAATGTAACAAACATAAACAGACCTTCTGTGTACAAATAAAAAGCCAGTATACCGAAATACATGTGAGTATGTGACAGACTTAACAAGGTCACCAAAAAGTTGGTTAAGAGGAATTAATAGGGTAAAGAAACATAAACTGAACGGAAAAAGGTTTAAAACTCATGTTTGATATTAATTAATGCATAAGATAGGTTTAGAAATAAAATAACAAGAAAACGCATTAACAAAAGCACTATTCAACTTTCCTATCAAATTCATTTACTTCTAATTTTGTTAATCTCTAATTGACAACCAAATACCTCTCGAATCATACTAATCAATGATAGAAGTTATATTTCATCTCCTTTCCTTCAAACAAGTATTTCTAAATCATTCCTTCCTCTACTTGCTTTCCTTCAAAAGATCTTAAGAAACCCATAAAACTATAGAGAAGAAACAACATGAGGATACCAAGAAATCATTATTAAAATAAATAATGTAAAGATGAAACTATACCCCATGGGAACTCCTTGTTGCGAATGTGCATGTAAGGGTATGCCTGCAAACAATTCACATTAAACAAAAATGAGATACTACATTCGAAGTACTTCATGTTAATTTACTACATAAAGATATGTAGAAACCTAACCAAACACCATTTTTCACCTAGTGTTATATACTTATAAAATTTAACAAAAGGAGTCAAACAGTCATGCATATAATTGAATGAGATGCACAAACCAAGCACATCATCTTCATGATATCGTATGATCTGCCAAAGCAACTCAATTACTTACGAAGAATATACAAACTAAACACCATAGAGTGGGGGAAATGTAAGGGTCCCCTCCCAAAAGTGCTCTACTGTGCATTCCTTTCCACTAGGCTAAGTTTAAAATGGTGTATCGAATCTCCAATGGTTATGGTTAGCTAAGGAGCAAGTAATTCCTAAAAGTCTCAAGCTAATACCTTGACCATTGGATGGGAGTTATGATTGAGAATTAATTAGCTTAAGCATGCTAATATACTTGATAAAAGGATGAAAAATTGATACTCCGCAACAAACTATTTATTGACAAATGAAACACATTTAAATAGAAAGCTAGTAGTTAGCATTAGCCAAAAAGTGCAATAAACATAAAAGCATTTCCTTCACTTGTGCTTATAAAATCAAGAAACCTAAAGTACTAACGAACATAAACACCAACCATCACGGAATGATCGACAATTCATCCAATCAATTTAAAATATGCATAATTTAGCATGATAGCAAAAATACGACATACAATCCAATGCAGTTGAGAACAAATGGGGCAAAACAGCAGCGGAAAAACACGTAACGTAAAACTTAAATAGAACTTACAGGAGGCTCTGGAAAGTGATGATGAGGCTTGGAAAGTTGGTAGATTGCCAAGGTTGTGCAACTAATTATTCCAAGGTAAGTAATTTTCTCCCATTTTGATGCCTCTTTAGCCTCGTCTTCAAACAAATACAAACAAAGCAAAAACAATCAACACCCATTTTACAGAAAATAAAAACCATACAAATGAAAAAATTAAACCCTCAATTCTATTAAAATTATAAAACTTCAATGTTTACGCTAATTAAGCCCAAAACAAAATGAAACCCTAATTGATTAAATTAAATAATCGAACATGAAAAAATCGTAATTCAGATGTATGTACATCGTAAAATCATAAAATGGTATTCAAATCAAAGCAAATGATTGCGAATTTCAGAGTCAAATCTGTAAGGGAAAACAGATTAAGAGAGAGAAAGTTACAGGCAACGTCGTGGTGGGTGGAAGAAGAGAAGGGGCGCTTGGTGAGATCGGAGGAACGACCAGCGCGGATGGCAGATTGAACGCCGGATCTGAGTTTAGCAAGAGTCATCGCCATTGTTGCTTCTCTCTCTAAATTTTCCTTTTTAATGAATGAAACTGGGAAGATGAAATTGGAGTTTGCGAACCTAATTGTAATTTCCAGAATACCAGGTTACAGGATCCGAATATATTCGGGTTTCTCTCTCTTAGATTATTGTATTTGGTATGTGGAAAAATTCAGACTTTTTGGCTTGGTGAATTTGGGGCTTGGGCTAAAATGCTATATAGTCTAGCAAGCTTCTTACTTTAGCCCTATGGACCCTATCACACCCTATAAACCTGTGTGCTGATCACATTGTGTGTGCAGATTGAGTTCGGTTCGAATCAAGTTATATTGAATTTGTCACTTGAATCATCTTATCCTTTTTGGTCGTTTTTGGGTAAGATTAAGTTGTGTTACTTATTTTAAAAAAACAATTGCATAATGGTTACATTATCATCAATTTTTTATCAAATATTAAATACTATCGGCCAATTAGTCTAATTGATATAAATCTATCACACATTTGTCACATTGTATGATGATATCAATGGTGAATTTTTTTTTTCCTTATTAAGTTTATGCACATAAGGTACTTTTTCAAAAATAAATTCTCCATTTTCGGTTATTTGTGATTGTTTCCCTTTTACTCTTTGCTATTCTCCTCTAATTGGTAGTGATAATGAAATGACATACTTACATCTCTATGCAAATGAAGTTATTGCCTGTTGCAACAACAAAACTCATGCAATGATTTTAACTTTTAAGTGATTGTTATGGCAAATAAATGTAACATCACCCTCATACCACATCCAAGATCCCAAGGAATCATAAAATTATAACCATGGCTAGTAAGACTCTATAGTCATATTATTGGAGGGAAATGAAGAATTGAATTCAATGTTACACGTTGCTAAGTTTCATACACATTTGTCACCATTAATATTTCTGTTTCAATTAATGTGACTAAGGGATTGATAATTTTATAACAATTTAGCTAATTGGCCTACAGTTATCAAGTCCAATTAGTTAGAATCAAACAAAGTCACACTCCACCATATTGATGATAGTATAGAACTAGACAACAAATTATAGTATCAGACTATCGGTTTTCTATTTGGAAGTTCAATTGTAACCCTATTCAATTAATTAATAGGTTGTGTTAATTGAAGTCAATCCAATTCTAAATTTAAACAAGTTGGAAACCTTGATTTGAACTTGCTAATTAATTTTATGTTGGGCTTAGATTGAGTTGTACTATGTTATTAGTTCTTGTCAATATTTATAACCTAATTTTGTTGAGAAGAAGAGTAAAGTGGGTATTCAAATATTCAATACAATGTATGTTTTTTTTTTTTTTTTTTTTTTTTTTTTTTTTTTTTTTTTTTTTCTTTAAAGAAATTTTAGATTTTAACACTCCATATTGACATTAGGAGCATATGTAGTTATGGACATTTATTCTTCATGCCTTCATGGAGTTCAAGCTTACTTTCATTATCATGGGGTTTAAGCTTACCTTCATTGTGATGTTAATATGTTATTCGACATGTTAACAATATATTGAATATTTTGTATTTACATCATGATTATAAACTTAATTATTCTAGTAAGATGTTACAATTACGGTATGAGATTAGACATTTTGATACAATCTTGTAAATTGCATTGCCATTTATTTTTTTTTTCCTTGTGCAAATCAACCATCAAAGGTGAGCTTTGACATACTATTTGAAATATAAGACAATCTCATCTCTATTTTTCTAAATCAAATGTTACCTAATCAATCAATGAACATCACACCCATCAACACATAATCACATATATCTTCTATTTTACAAGAAGATCAAAGTCATCATAATTTCTTATATTGTTCCACAAAAATACATGTAAATCTCATGAGATAGCTCATCATAGTGGCTAATTTATAAGATCACAAAGATAAGATAAACATATACGTAGTAGAAAGATCTACAATATGAAAAAAGCAAAATCAATTCCTTTGTATTTATGTAATATCCATTGACGCAATCATTTTACAAAATCAACAACATCAAAAATCTATGTGACTTATTATATCTACATGTGGGTCCAAATATTTTTATAACCTCTGATATGATCGATCCTAGAATATATTTACAAAATTGTATCCCAATAAATCCCACCAAAAAGCAAACATTTTTCCCAAATTCTTTTCTATGATTTGCTAATCATTTTTTTGTATGAAATCACGGAGTTATCAACTCAACCCAAGCTTCATCATCAAGTATCCCACTCTCTATTTCTCCACACTCATCATTCAACGAGTAAACGACGTCGTCTATACTCCAACCACCTCTCAGCAACTCCCGCGACATTTTCCTCACGTGCTTCACAGCACCCTCCTTACTACTTACCCCACTCGCTGTCACGCACGTGGATACCACCGCCTCATCGCGACCACAACCGGGACCGTCCATCATCATCATCTCCCTAACGTCGTCCTCGGCCCATCCGCCATCCCTCAACCGCCACATCACCTCATCAATACACCCGCTTAGCTCGTCGGTCCACCACTTACTACACGCGCCCTCACGCTCTGCAGCTTCAGTCCAAAACTCTGACAGGTCTTGCTTCTTGGGCCCACGCTGGGGTGGTATTATTTTTACTATCCTTCCTCCGTGTCCTCCAAACGCAGTCTTTTCTCCAAAACTCCGTTTCCTTGAAAAACCCGCCCACGTCAGCACTCAACAATCTGACGTCACTCCCATGCACGTAGAATACGGGGTTTCCCGCCAAATTGGGTTCAGCCGGAATATAACAGTGCCGAAACACGGGGACAAGAGGTGGGGCCTTGGAGAGGTAATGTTGGGCCAATGATTGGGCCTGTTCTTCTTTACTGGGCCGTGGGCCCCAAGATGGGACCCAGAAGTTGTTTCTAGAAACTTCTTGGGAGAGAGAGAGGATAGGGAGGGCGGTGAGGAGGCGGAACTGGTAGCTTGAGGAGGAGCGCCAGTTGGGGAAACCCGGGCCCACAGGAAGGCCTTCGGAGAGGATTGACCGGAGGTCGGAGGGGAATGTGAAATGTCCGGCGGATTCTACGGTGGTGATTTCGTCGTTGGTGAGTCCGGCTGCCACGTGGATGTTGGAGGTTTTGAGGGAGGTGATTACGGTTTTCGCGTAGGCAGCGACGGAGAAGCAGACTTTGCGCTGCCGTGTTGGTGTTGATGGACGGTGGTTTGTGGCCATTGATGGGGATTTTATTTTAAGAGAGGAGAGAGAGAAAATGAGGAGATTTTTTTTTAATTTGGAGTTTTTTTTTTTGGAGGGGGGGTGGAGGTAGGATTATTGGGGTGGCTAAAATGAAACTGACTAAAAATTTGGGGGATTATTAATTGTTTGGAGTGGAGTTATTTGGAAGGAAATCCAAAAAAAAAAAGGTGATTTATTTCCAACTTATAAAAATTTAAAAATAAAAAAAGAGAGATTTATTTATTTTGAAAGAGATTTATTTATTTATTTCTTAGGTGATTTTAATTGAACTATGGATACAAGTTTAAATGCCTGAAAAAAAAAAAAAGGATACAAGTTTAAAACATAAAAATGTGGGAAATGGGTGATGGATATTGGAGAAAAACTATTCTAACATGTTGTTACCTATATTTTGTATTAATATAATTATAGCAACAGGTTTTCAGAATGCAACATTTTCATTTTAATAATTTTCGGTAGTATGGATTTTTAAGAAATGGGGCAATTTCTCTTAGTTTAATCAATTTTTTTTTTTTTTTTTTAAAGTGACATAAAAAAGAAAACGGTTAGAATATACTCATCCTCATGTTCTTAAAGAGTAAGAACTACTTGATGTGTGTTTGTCTTTTGGTCTAAACTTGTGTGTGTGTGGAACTTGTAAGCTAAAGCCATAAAAATGATCAAATTGTGTTATATACAACTAATACATTTTTTTTTTTTTTTGAGATGTTGATTTTTTCTAAGCATTTTTGGTGTCATTTTATCATTTACAAGTACACTTGTATAAAAGTTTAAGATTTTTTAATTTGTAGATACATGGAAAATCAGAAAACTATGGAGAATTTCGTGTTGATTTGTTTCAATTCCTTTATAATCTCTTCTTCTTGTTGTCAATCTGTATTTGAAATGTTCTTCTTGATGTCGCAAAAGTCTAAACCATAGAAATAAATATTAGTGAAATGAGTGGGGGATGGTCATAGAAAAAGTTGAGTTATACTCGTAGTTATTTTCTTCTTTGTGTGGCAGTGTAGTCAAAGGATTGATTTGGATTGGTGGATGGCATATCAAGTGAAAGCTCAATTTTGAGTTAATCTATTAACCTTAGTTATGTACTAATTTTGTTTCTTAATGTTTGTAACACTTTTTTTTTTCTTCACATTTGTCAATGTAGATTTTTAATTATTAATTATTAATATATCTAATTAAGCATTCCAAAAGTATATATATTGAGTCAAATCTAACAAATTCCACATGAGTATATATATTTTTTTCTTTACTTATAAATTACAAATGATGGTCAAAGTGAAATTTAAAAATAATGTCATATTAATTAAAGTGTAAATAAAGGACATTAAGGAATGGACATAATATATGTTGGTCGTTAAAAGTATCTTTAGTCTTTAACTCTTTACAATATACATATACAACGATACATCATAAGTTTGACATTTGGGAGGACACACTAAAGTCTTTACAATATACATATACAACGATAATTCTTAAGATTTGATCACACTAATGTCTAAAAGTTTAACCAACTAAACTAGTTGACCATCCAATATATGGATTGATTTATGCATGTAAGCCTGTACTCTAAAATCTAGCAAACAAAATCAAAGGGAAAAAACATTCTATACAGTCTCTTAACCTAATTAACTACACAAATACAACTATACAAGAAAGAATATTGTATACAATGTCTATATTCACACTATATATACTAAACATTCAAATAAAACTGCAATTGACAAGGATAATATAGTCACTACATACTCACTAGTTCATTTCAAAGCAACTTGAAAAGGAAACGCCAACAAGCAATAACAGGGACAAGTATCATCTACAACAATATTGCAGATTTGTAATAGTGATCAAATTTCATGTATCCTCCAAAACAAAAGCAAATACTTACATCATAATATTATATAGCTTCTTTTATTCATG